TTACATTATCGTGCCATACGATTCCAGGCCATGGACGGGCATAGGTTTGAGGATCGGCTTGAGCAACGATAGTTTAATTTCCGTCTCAGCCTGCCTTAGTAAAAACGATTCAGGCTAGTCCGCGTAGAACGTAACATCCAGTGTGCCGATTTATCTTTTTCTGCCACTTCTGTCACCAGTAAACATGATCCCGACTCGGAGCTGACAGTAGATTTCTTTCATTTCTTTCCTATGGAAGTTAATTTGACGGGGGCTTTACATCACACTCTTTTCTTCATTCATTCAGAACGGGTAACATCTCCGTTGCTCAATCTTGTGCAGCCGTCACCGGTCCATTATTCCCCCCAACCAAGAGAAAACATAAGCAGGTTCTGATCGCGCTTTTTTTATGCTTCGGTACCCAACAGCCTTCGCGCCACTTGGTAACGCAGGCGAGCGACGACCGAACATTATAACGTTTAATAATGTAAGTATGAGGTAGAGGTAGACATGTTTCGTGTGAGGCTTTGCTATGATCTTCAACCTTCCTCCTTTCTCATCCATGCTAATGATTGGATACAGGGAGTTGTGTGCAGCAGTACGATATATAATTCTCTATTCCCTGAAAGGGAAAACAGTTAATTGCTACACACGATGTTTGCTAAAAAGTAAATTTTTTTATTGTGTTTCTTTCTGTTATGCATTCATTCATGCGCATGTTCGGTTTTTCCAACTAGCTGAGGGCTATTATGATTTCATTAGAACCTTATTTATTTTTTGACTTGACAATCATATCCAAAAGTACCATTTTGTAGAAACGTGCTCTGGAAAAAGTGTTTCTATTAGAAACTCGTTATAAGTTTTACGAATACAGCGTGGTAAATGCTTCTTTTTAGAAATTATGACTAACCCATTTTGCTTAGTTTTGTAGTGCATTTCTTTATAACCATTTTTCTATATCCAGAAAATATCTGAACGAGAAGTAACGCCTTGCCATAGTATATTTTAAAATTATTCGTGGGAATATCGTTGCCGAATTTTTTGATTGTCTGAGAGTTTATCGTACTTCATGTACATGTGCTTTCACCTTTCTTAGCATTTGGCTGGGTGGATGCTGTTTTACAGTAGTGAATGACC